TGCTGGACCAGCCAGTCTGGGTCCCGCTGCGTCGTGGTGTCACCCTGCCCCCAGGACTCGCTGGCTGCTAACGCCACCGTTTGTTCAGTTCAGCTATTAAATATTTCCTGAGATACAGCAAGGATCTCCCCATGCCCCCGGTGTGCTCGGAAGGTCTGTGCTGATTGTTTCCCCGTAGAGGGGACCCGAGGAGCGATCCCGTTCCTGTTCTCTGCCGGCAGAGCTGATGGAGGAATCCTTTCACAGCGTGTCCGTTCAGTGCCCGGGGTAGCAGGGTGCGAGCATTGCCGCAGCGGGCGACTGTGCGGCCGCGGGAGGCATTGCTGGACAGATTTCTGTGTTTCACTGAGCTTGCAGTAAAGTCACTTACTGGCTGTCATCTCGGCTTCAGCTGCGATGTGCACGCAGATGGGCAGGTTGTAACGGAGACGATTTCCTAGCGCAGTCTAGTAACAAACGGGGTAAATGACAGAAAGGTTGAGAGGTTGATAATTCAGTGCAAGATGTGCGTGGAGTGCCTCCTCCGTGGGCCGCATGGTGTCACAGAAAGCTGGGAAATGCCTTTTTCACTTCAGCCCAGTCTTTTCTAGTGGCAAAATGAGAAAATGCAGAATCACACACTGCTTGGGGCTTCCTGCTGGTTGCCTTTAGAGAACCATAGAGAGTGTCAAAACGCGTGAGCCATGTAGTCAGGAATGACACAAACATGGAATGGGGAGGGAGGGATCTGTTCTACAAAATTCCCTGGCGAGCACAGGGAAAGTCAGGACAGGAATACTTAAAACTCGTCTTTACATTCAAAAGGTGAGAAAGATGTGGCTTGTCTTGAGGCTAGAAAATGGATTTTAGGAAGTGCTGGGATCCAAAGTTGTCGATGCTTGTGATTCTGTGGAAGTAGTTCTGGGCTTTATTGCATGGTATATTTGATGGAGGAACTTAAACCTGCGTACCATGGTGTGGTGTTGGGCTTTTCTTAGCATTGCTCAGTCTTATTTTTGCTGTTTTCAGTTAAATGCTGTCGTTTTCCCTGCTGTTTAATGACATCTTTTAAAATCTTGCAGAAATCCAAAACAAGTGCCAAATTAAGTGCTGTTGGCTTTTTTCTTTTTGGGTAGGTGCTGTGACAAAAGATTATGGACCAAAATAGATTTAAACCATTGTAAATCCATCACTCCACTTATGCTTAGTGGCATTATTAGGAGACAGCCTGTAACCCTTGACCTTAGCTGGACAAATATCTCTAAAAAGCAGCTGAGTTGGCTTATCAACAGACTGCCAGGTGAGTGATGTTTCCTGACCACTTCACTGAATGGAGCAAACCCCTTTGTGTCTAAACTGCAACCTCTGGGACCACAGGGATCCGGGTGTCCCAGGAGAGGAGGTAGATACGTGGGAATGAAGCAGCGGTGGGTTAAAATGGGCCCAAAAATCAGTTCTAGTGTGACTGCTTGACGTCAACGGGTCATGTTGCTGTGGGAAGCGCCTGTGCTGCCGTGATGAGCGCAGGGATGAAGAATCCAGGTGGTGGGAGGGATGCAGAGCTGGGCAGGAGGAGGTTTATGAGGCCCCTGCTCACCCTGGACTGTTCATCAGAGCAGCACCAGGCTTCACCCAGCCTGTGTGCGCTGTAGAGATCGCTGCGGAGGTCTTTCTGGGTACACCACATGCTCCAACCTCTTCTGTATCTGCAGGTCTCCGAGACCTGCTGTTATCAGGGTGCTCGTGGATAGCGGTGTCGGCACTTTGTAGTTCCAGTTGTCCTTTACTCCGAACTCTGGACGTGCAGTGGGCAGAAGGACTGAAAGACGCACAAATGAGAGACCTCTTGTCGCCGCCCACAGATAACCGGCCAGGTAACGGCGAGGAGCATGCGGGAGACTGTCCCAGCCGCTCTGGGGCATGTTCTGCTGCTAGTCCCCCTCGGAGGATCCAGGCAGAAGCCCCCACAGCTAGTGCCGGCGGGTTCTGGGCTTTGCTGGCGTGTGAGGGGTTCAGAGGTAGTGACTGGCAACGCCTCCTCGCTGGAAGCCCCTGGGTAACGAGGGATGTTCTCTGGCTGCTGAACAGTCGTCTGAGCCACTGTGCTGGTTTTCTGTCTGACTTTCTTCTCTTCAGGCTGCAACGGGTGTACTTTAGAGAGTATGGAAACACTTTCTTCCAGTTCAGGGAAGGAGCAGTTCTGTGGGTCATGCCACATTCGCCCGGATATCAGCTCAGGTGAAATTTTGAGCAAATCAGATCTGCTTTCTGGCATGCACTGCACAGCCTACTGCTTATTCCCGACGTGTAATTCCGCTGGGCCCCTGCAGTTACGTTCATCCCTTTTGTTTTGAAATCAGGAGGTGGCTTTTGTCCACGTGCCTGTTCCAAAAATATTCCTGCTGATGTCCCCTCCAAAGCTCCAGACAGGCAAAAGCGTCTGAAGTTGACGTAGGGCAGCAGTGTTGTGTGTCACAGTGCATTTCGTATAGATCTGCGGATGTTTGCAACACGGGGTGCGATTTGTGAGTGTGACCTGCTGCCTCTGCTTTCCAGGTCAGATCGACAACCGGAGCAAACTACGGAACATCGTTGAGCTGCGTTTGGCCGGGCTGGATATCACAGATGCTTCTTTGCGGCTGATCATAAGGCACATGCCTCTGCTCTCCAAACTCAATCTCAGTTACTGTAACCACGTGACAGATCAGTCTATTAACCTGCTGACCGCGGTCGGAACCACCACGCGGGATTCATTAACGGAAATTAATTTATCAGGTAAGCAACACCAGCGCGGGGAAAGGGGGTGGAGATGCCCGTTGGCGTGAAGCCCTCATCAGGGGGAGCGGTTTGACACGGGGACAGGGGAAGAGCTGGGGCCCTTCCCCCAGGACTCCCTGGGAGCAGCCGGATGTGCTGCCCGTGTAAATAACCCCGCGGCCGCTCAGCCTTTCCCTGGCCCTCACCAGCTGCCGGGACCGCTGCCTCCTGCCGAGGAGCCGTGTGTGGTACCTGCTCGTCCTCTGCGGGGGATTTTCCAGTGCTGCACATCTGGCGTGCTTGGCTTTATCTCCTCGGTTCCGCAGCAGACTCACAGGGACCAGAGCGTGGCAGTGGGGCTGTGGCTGCATTTCGCTGTCAGCATAGCACAGGAGGGGCAAAAAGGACTTACCGTGGTTGGGATGAACCATACTCGTGCAGGAGAACAAACAGAGACACACTGTTAAATGTCTCCCTCTTTGTGTGTTTTTTTCCTGGCAGACTGCAATAAGGTGACTGACCAGTGCCTGTCCTACTTCAAACGTTGTGGAAACATCTGCCAGATCGACCTGAGGTACTGCAAGCAAGTGACAAAAGAAGGCTGCGAGCAGTTCATCGCAGAAATGTCCGTAAGTGTTCAGTTTGGGCAAGTGGAAGAAAAACTTCTGCAAAAACTGAGTTAGTTAAAGGACACATGTAAATACTGGGGCGAGGGGGGCAGGGACTAAGAACACGTAGGGATTTTATTTTCAATTGGGAACTTGGAATATTGGAAAATACCGCGATCGGATTTTACAACTCTTGTTGAGGAGAGAAGAACGTGAAACTACCCATGTTAAGAATTTCAACTTGTGCCACTAATTCAGTCTACCTGGGATGTCCTGCACTGGCTCTTATGCAAATTCATAAGGCGACTGTTACTGGTGATAATTGTTCACACCCGGAAGACGACTGATCTCCAAGAAATACTGTTATTTAAAGTACCACAGCATGTGCTTGGTAGTGTAAATTTGATTTCTGCTTTTCATTTCTTAACAACAACAACAAAACAGTTGGTGTCATTAAGTGGACCACGCACTGCATTTCTGCCTTCTTAACATGTTTTGTTTTGTTACATCTTACATTATGCAGAACTATTTTTGTACAAAAATTGTTTAAAAATTATTTATGCAATGTTTGAATGCATTACCAGTGTTTCAGTTTTGATTGCCAATTTTTATCTTTACTTATGGTAGGCGAGAACTTAACCTATACTTCGTAGACAGTATCTATCTACAAACGTGCCCAGGTCAGGAAAAGTAGGTTAATACTTTCAACTTCAAGCATGTTTTAATGGAAGTTTATATCCTGCTTTGTATACTTCAGAAGTGACATAAGCATGTTGTGGAAATAAGGTGTAAATTATAGTTGAAGTAAAACACTTTGCCAAGTTTTATCTGTATAGAAATCACCTTTTTCTCAAAATTTTAAAAAAATTCCAATTTCAGCTTTTGCACATAGGAGGGTTTCACTCTGTAGCATGAGCTCTTGTACTCAATATAAAATTAATTTATACAGTGAGTCCAGCCGTAGAATAAATGGTCAAACGTAGTCTCTCTTTCTTTGAAGTGTGAGTTGAGTTCTCATTTAAGGTTTATAACATGGTTATTTCCTGATTGTAAAATTCTGCATTCATAAGTGCCATTGTTGTACGGTGTTGTTTTCGTAGACCTTCCTGATGCAGTTTTACCTTTGTTGAATTTGTATAAACAATTGTACAAAAACAGGTGCTGGCTCTGCAGGTTTGTTCCAATGCCGGGTTGTTTAGGGGTGGGGGGGGCTGTGGGTGGTGTTACAGGTGGGTAAAGCTTGAGCTGAGTAACCAGCCCCTCCCTGAGCTGGTAAAGAAAAGAGACAGAGGCTGAGCGAGCCCATCACAAATCTTTATTAAGCTTGTGTGGCTAATGATCAGCACGGAAATAACATCCAGGGTATGTTTTTCTTCATTAGCTCACCCACTGAACAGAGACGCCAGGAATTAAGTACGATTAAAAAGTTACTTCTAAAAAATAAAGCCATTGAGAGGTTTGCTCCCTTCTGAAAAATAACCAGCAGTGTCTGTAAGCTGTGTGTTTTATTTTGAGGAGGAGCCTCTTTCTCTTTTTCAAGCCAGCTTCATTCTTCACATGAAGGACAGTGTCGCAGAGGTCAGAGTTCTGGGGTGCTACCACTGAGGCAGAGCATGTCCCTGTCTCCATCCCTTCAGGAGCATGGGGACAGTTAAAAAGAGAAACTGTAGCTTCCTTCCTCAACCTGCTTAAAGGACAACAGCCAGGACCGACTCGTTCCTCCCTCACTTTTATGTACAGTGAACTTCCTTGGACACTTGTCCTGGTCATGCTTGTCTGCAGGCCGCCTGTCCCCAGAAAAAGAGCTTTTCCTGCCCCTCTCTTCCCCCCCGTCCTGTCACAGATATCCTACCAGATCTGGTAAAATTCTTGCTCCACAAGGACCCGTACCCCTCCTGCTGGCACAAAGCCCAGCTGGAAGTGGGGCCCAGGGCTGACAGCAGCACAGGGCCCTCAGCAGCCATGGGGAAGGGTGGTTAATAGTGCCGCGGCCTTGGGTACAAGTCTCCAGATGTGAGGTTTTAAACAAATACCACACTTCCTTTCCCTTATCCGTACTAAACCCCTCCCTGGTTAAGGTTAGCAACACTGTACATTCCACAGGTTAGCAGCAAGTCATTTATGACCCTGATCAGTATTCACAGTTACCTCAGGTTCTCGGCACATGGAGTACAATCATGACAGGTAAGATCAGTAATTACAATAGGCAGGAGTGGACCACAATCATATGGGTTACTATACCCTTTTAAAAAAAATCTTATTCCTAAACTAAAACCCACTTGGTGATGGTATTTGGACACCGCAGGGCAGAGCCCTGTGAAGTGACAGAGCTTCCTGTCCCTTAACAAAGAATGGCCGAGACAGCAGATGTGTAACAACAGACATTCTAAACAAAGCAATCGGCATAAAATAGATTGCGTAAGGGCTTCTGCGCAGGGACAGTTAATGGCAGTGCGTCTACAGTCGTATTTTATACTGTTAACACTGTTGCAGGGACAGTGTTGGAACAGTTACATTCTACAGTTGCATAAAAGCTGAATATTCAACAGATATATTCCTTCTAATGCACTAGGCAACGTAACACGCTAATACGGTCAAGCAGCGGTGTTCTCTGACCACGTGCTGAGTACCGAACGCAGTAATTTGGGGCGATATTCTTCAGAAGAGAGCAAGAACTGCTGTAAACAGTTTGACTCGAAGAGTTTGTGTGTTTAGAAGGTAAGCCAGGCAGCGCTATTACTGTACACACAGGCATCGTATCGTACTGCCCAACTGCAGGATGAGGATGCTGTAGAAAAATGTTTCACAAACCTCTAGATCCCAATGTTCAAAATGCTGTGTTTATTGAGAAGTAAAAAGCGCCCCACCTTTTATCACTCCTGCCTGCAGCACTCCTGGAAGGGCGACTATAAAATCCATTTTTGGTCTTGGCTTAAGACTTGAAGACGTGCACGGCCCGTACGACGTACTGTCGGCAGATGGGGCACTCGCTCATCCTCTTGCCGCACTTGGTGCAAGTGACCATGTGGCCGCACTCCAGCAGGACACAGTCGATCACGGCGTCCATGCAGATCCGACACAGGTTGTCGTCGTTGTCGTTCAGCTGCATCTTCTCACCCTCTGAAACACAATGAGAGGGAGGTCAGGCATTCAGGCCCTGGAAAACCAGTTCAGTTCTAGCCCAGGCAAGCGCTCAAATACACAGGTAATTGATCGTCAAGTGGTGCTGATCCACCTTCACAGTAGTTTTTCTAACCCACAGCTAAGAATTCCTTCAAAAAACCCAAAGAAACGAGAACTAGAAAGCCCCTAAGTGAACATCCAATATTTGGCTTTATTCTTTAAACTCAAAGACCATTTTCAATTCAGAACATGACAACGGTGAAATAAGGTGCTGGATTAAAATTCAGAGCATGTTGGTTTTCCATCTCTGAGCTTACTTCGTTTGGCAGAACGCTTTCCTCAGAAGATTAAACACAATAATAATAAAGCAGACTAAGAATTGGAAGCCGTAAGTAGGCTGTAAAGATGGCAGAACTGAACAAAACCCGTCACGTCTCATTGCAAATAGACAACAGCCCTTATCAATAACACAATGTTTGTCAGGCCATGGAAAAAAAAATAAAAATCCTTAGTTTAAAGCTTGATTTTGACAGGTTTTCAATTCTAGTCTATGACCAAACTGAGGGTCTCACGTAAGCCATGTTTTGACACTAACAGTCCCTCACCTTCACAATCCTTCTCCACCCCAATCAGGTGATTATTTCACACCCGATTACCACAGTCACCATCACGCTGTGCACTGGCCCAGGGCTATTAAGTTTTCCAGTCACCACGGTCCCCTGTTCTCTGCAGCCTGGCTGCTGGATGCAGGACTGAGGAGCCAGGCAGGCACTTTTCAAGCTGGTAACGACAGGAAAAAGTTCTCCTCAGACTGTGCTCTGTGAGCAGGAATCAGTCTGTGGCTCCACTACAATCACACAAGTGAAAGGCTCCAATTGTTGAGGAACAGAAGAACACGAGTCACTGAGCTGCAGGCACAGAGCCCCTTTATCATGAAAACACGGACTGACACCAAACCACCTGAACCTGGACTTTGGCCACTGCAGCTTTTAATTCTGTACTGCAGTAAAAGACCTGAGTGGCTGTGGTCTGCTGTCAGCTTTTGAGAACCTCTCATGATAATGCCCTGTGAAACCTAAGAAAGGAGGTAGAAGTGCCAAGTTTCATGTTCTCTGAGGAACTGGTTCTCAGTTGCGCAATTTTACCTTCACCATGAAAGCTGAGCTCTCTGACCTTTGGAGAAAAGTGTCAAAAAACCCAGCACAATCCTGGAAAGCTTCATTTACTCACTAGAGCCACATTCAACTACTCTAGATGCAGCTCGAGCTGTTAAAACCCACTTCCCAGTTGTTCCAGCTGAGCACACCGAGTCAGATCCAAGTCCTCCTGTCGGCAGAAGCAGCTACTGTAAACCATAAAATAAGTAGCCTTAAGAAAGTGAGAATTAAATAAAAACATACGTGTCTTGTGGTTTTCTTCACTCTCTCTGAATAGTCTGCTCACTTTTTCCACAAGTTCCCATTTTTCACAGCATCCTGAGTAGTTGACAAAATTACACGCAAGTATTTCCTTCAGCTGCCGAACACTCAACCCTTCAATGTCTTCCAGACTTGAAATATCGGACAAAGATGCCCTCACTCGCTTTCTGGACAATCCAGGGGTCTGAAATACATCAACTGTATGTTCTTAATTGTCCCAGTAAGTTCAGAGCACCAGATTTGGTGCTACATAAAGCTGCAGCAACTTGGGTAGAGTTTTATTCTTTTTTAAAGCAAGTATTTGCAGATATGCCTTGCTAAACACAGCTAATTCTGAAAGAACTAGAGTGTGACAGTAAATATTGACAGAGAGCTGAACACATTATGGTGTCACACACCAGAAACTCACTATTTGGATAGTTCATGTCTCACCTGCTCTTCTGCACTTTCTTCTTCTTCATTTATAGAAGATGTTTCCGTTTGTCCCTGTGTACAAAATGAAATTCATCAGGACAAAAACAAATTATCCCTTCTAAAATATTTTCCTGTGTACCAAACTGATCACAGCTGACAACGAGATGAAGTTTCAATTGCTACTAATTGTTACTGATTTAAGTCACTTCTATCCTCTAAACTAGTAATCTTACCTAGTGACCTTCTGTTTTCAGGTGAGAGATACAAAAGGCATTTTTCCTGCCACCCAGAACTGTCCCAATTGGTATTTTATTTTAAGGCGATGCATACCTATTTAAAAAAAAAAAGCTATGCTATACCATAAACCACACATTAATTATTGTACCCGTAAAGGTGTTCCATTTCCCGTGCTTCCCCTCCTGTTTGCGTGTTCTCCTTGAGACGACACTGATACAGACATAGAAAATGGACGAGTAAAAAACCCCGAAGTCTGTGACCGTGAGGAATGCAAGCTACTAGCGTCCATGTCCTCCGCCGCACCTAATCCGTGATGGCACAGCACGAGATCCACCAAGTCTTCTTTCTCCCTGCAAGTATCTGTTGGTATGTTTCTGAGAAGCAGATACTGACGCAGATCCTTCACTTTCAATCGCATTAACTGAGGTCGCTGAAAGGCTGTTTCTTGCAGCAAGTGACAAGTGGAACATCTTCTGAGATTCTCTTGCAACACTGAACAAACTGAGCAAAAATCCTTCTTGCAGTCACAACACACGTGCTAAGTGGAAAGAGAAAATAACCATTCAGCTGTACGTCACAGAAAACAGAGCTAGACCCTGCTCTCTCCTTCTCCAGGCTGTGTCATCTACTGTTAGTGCCTTAGTCGTCACTTTTGAAATTTATCGTGTTTAGGATTTAAGTCTAGAAAACTGCCCTGTCAAGTAGTTTTGCAGGTGTTCCAAGGCAGTGTGCTGCTTCTGTAGCACTACTGTAAGCTGATTTCAGGTTTCAGTGAAAAACAACTGTGAATAAACAAATGAATAAAGTATTCAAGTTGTAGTTTAGACAATAAATGAACTTGAAAGCCAGTCCACTTTATGGTATGTTAAAATATTTTTCAATATACTAAGTATCACTGCTCTTTTCTCATGTGTAAAAAAAACCCACCAGTATAATCCCCAAATTTTTAAGAACAGACTTCTTCTTCCATTGATTCAAAGAATTTGAAGTAGCCCTTAAATGTGATTAATCACATGGCAGGTAAATACTCCCCATATGTCACTTCTGAAGAAAGCTTTGCTCAAAAGACTCACTGCAATAAACAAAAGCTCAAATAGACAAGGCTTTCAGCAGCAATTTTAAATTGTCATCTCATCCTCTGTGAACAAATCCATACTCTTCCAAGTTTTTTAGAATTTTAGCAAATTAATATTACCTTCAGAAAATGTCCCTGCACAATGCTCAATTCAACAAAGTGTTTGCCCTGCAAACAACAGGACACATAGGAAGGGGAAAACTGAACACACGAACTGAAGAGTAAGCTTTCATATTTATCTAAAAGAGCTGCAGAGAATTAGGTCACTGGGTGGACAAGATCATTATGCTGGAGAGTCACGATACATAGAAATAATCTTAATGATCTTGATTTTATTTTTCTGCATTAACCCACCAACCTGCCTCCAAATGAAGCAAGAGGTTGTTGGAGCTCAACAGCATTTAACAGAACTAAACCAATCACACAAGTATTTCACAGAAAGAAGCTGTGATACTACATTGCGAGTTTTTAGCTCTTCCATCACCCAGTTTGTTCACTCCAGTACTTAACCACTATGTTTGGCATCATCTTCAAAACCAGATTTGTTTTAATGTTTAAGATTCTGAAGCTAAAACACCTATCTTACAAATTAGAATCCACTCATTTTTTTAGCTCAGACCAGATCCAATGTGTCACCGATTAATGAACATCAGACCTCTTAACTTCTAATCCTGTCTGGCGTTAATTTCCTGTGACCTCAGAATAAGGCACTTACTCCTTCCCTGGCTACCTGCCTCGGGTCTCCTTAGCTAAGAGAAAATACCCATTCACCTCCCACTACGCCTACAGATTAATGAGTAAAAATACTATGTAGTAGGAAATATACTCACTTTTTTCCTAAAAACTGAAAAGGAAAGTCCACAGGCTTTGCAAACTATGTTAGCGCCCGCCGCAGCTGGAGATGGATATGCCGAGAAGTCTGTGTTGGGTGCAAATCTGAATGGGCCAGCACCTCCCCCAAAGCCAGCCTGCTGGCCACGGACAGCTCCAGTACCCATCACTTCATTCAGCAAGCCACAGCAGGAAGCCCACATGGAAGTAGCTCCCGCCTGAAAACATTCACAAAGAAAAAAAAAAAAATATCTGAAAGCCCACGTCAGATGTGATTTGCTACTGAAGAGCTACTTCATCAGACATCATCCCAAAAGCATGTGGTGTGAATTCCCAGAGCACCAGGAATTCTGTACACTAACATCTCTAACAGCTCAATGATCTCTACTTCCCAGCTGCAAACCAAAGTAGGTAAGATTTGCTTCCGAGAGGCTAATGCAGGCACAAGGAGCTCGCTTTAGTAACTCCCTTTTCTAGCAGAGTTCCACACAAAAAGGGTAAGGAATTTGAGGAGGTAACGCGAAAGCAGAGCAAAGAAGGAAGAGACCAACGGCCAGTCGTAGGCAAGGGGCAAAACCCAGAATGACGACAGGCAGCAACACAACAATTTACTGTAATCAGTGCAGAGCTGTCCCCAGCAGGATCTTCTCCAGAACTAATCCAGCTCTTACATGACTCACAATAAAACTCTCTAAAAAACATTTCTGGGTCCTCAAACTCTAAAGTAACAAACCAATCTTTATTAGAAACTAGTTACGGTCTCGTTTCTCTGAGAGGGAAATGAAATGTTTTTCAAGACCTCCCTGAACCTGCTGTTTTGTTGTCTTACAAAAGGTCTAACAAAAATTAAAATAACTCTAAATGAATTTAATCTATGTTATTTGGATTTCAGTTTGCAATTTAATCTTAAAACATTAAAAAAATTCTAAATACATAAATAAATTGCTACTTTTTATCTTTTAAAGCCTTTAGCACTAGATTCTCTATCAAAAGTGCATATTAAAGTTGGAATTTGGACTCCAAGCTGCTCAGGTCACATGTTTAATCACTGTCATGTGGCCCACTAAAAATCTACCGAAAAAAACCAACCCAGAATCACACTGGGTTCTTTTCTAAAGGAAGCCAAGTGGTACAACTTCCTTTAAAGTCGTCATGTGCCTTCCCCACCCCCCATACTCACAGTCTCTGTAACTACAGTGGTTACAGCTGTTCTGCATTCCAGGGCACCATCTCTCCCCCCCCCGCCCTCCGCAAAGCACGAGGACATAAAGTAATTGCTTTGGAGACTTGTAGTTCTGGCTGTAAAACCTAAACCAACCAGAACGCACACTTTGGCTTAGTAACGATGGTATTTCTGTATTAAATTGCATATTTCCCCTGACCCGAACACAGTCCTGTTACATTTGTGGGAACTCAACACAGTAACTGGGAATACGCCAGAACATCTCCTTTCAAACCAGTGAGCACAAAAGGCAAGAGGAGAGTCCTCACGCTGGCTTAGAGAGCAGCTGTGAGAAACAATCACCTGGGAGCAAACATGTTCTACAACAGCACCTTCATCTATGTGCCTTAAGTATGGAACATCAAAAGCATCTCTCCAACCCACACGAACCTGGTACTTCACTTTTACTGGTGTAAGCAGACGTTAAAAGTGTTGCATACAGTGAAATATCGAACACAGTTGGTCCTTTTGCTTCTAAGCTGTGCAACACAGAACACCGTGTGCAGTTATAACATCAAATATACATGCCACAAATTAAATTCACTAGTTTAATTTTACAGGTATTTCAAGAGCAAAACTCATCCCAGGCATAACAAGAAATTCATCTCCACGCATAGGAGAAAATCTTCCTAAGCTTCCTGTGAATGGTGTTGAAGAGGGATGAACTCCAGCGGCCAGCTCTTCCCTGACCTCCAGCCACGACACAGGCAGCCCCAGCACGTGGCTGCGCTCACAGATACACCGTGCGCTTGGAGCCTGTCTCATGTGTAATCAGACTTTCGTGACAATCATTAAACCATCATCAAACTAAGACTTGTTTTCTGCTTTTCGATAATAAACATATCTATACTAATTTTTCCTACACAAAACAAGTTATGCATAATTATCCTAGTTTATTAGGCAAGAGTAACTTTTCAGAAATACATTCTGTAAACCAATTACTTAATCCAAGAGAGTTGCAAGTTTTAAAACTTGGGACTTTTGAAAAATATTTTTTCTCATCTTAAGGGAAAGTTGTCATTTGCAGAAACATTAATTCCTCACATATTCGTAAAAACTGATGAGCTAGCTTTATATTTAAGAGGTTTTAAAAGTCATAAACAAATAACATAAAAATAAAACACTGAACCAGAAGTGTCTGTCCGAATTCAGTTTGCTTCTTTATCTGACTGGTTTTTTCAGGGGGTCACAGCAGCAGCAGGACACACAACTGAAAGGACACAACATAATTGCTGCCACAACCCTTGCCTGATAAGTTTAACACCTGCTTCTCACTTATTTTAATCAAGAGCCCATAACAACTGCTCAGACATCACTGCCAACACTAAATAAATATATACTTAGGAAACTTTTGTTACCCATTTTGGATACCTGACTGTTGTTAGTATCAAACAGAAAGTCTCTTTACACTTACTGCCAAGCATTCAGTCATTTTAAGGTGAAAGGTAAGGCACTGTGGGCATCATTAATTTTCTACTTAAGTCAGCTGTGGATTCTTTCTCTGCTCTAGTGTCATTAACCGATAATTGAATTACAGTGTCTAGACTCTTCGTATTACTCTGTAAAATAAATTAGACCGTGCTGAAAAGCACGAACACAAGATGCAAACTGAGATACACTAAACTCCTTCCCTTGAGAATTAGTTAAAATTTTGCCAATTTCTGCACCAAAAGCCTTTCCAACTACATCAGTCACTGCTTCCATAATCTCTTCTCACAAACTGCCACCAGCTATCTTCTTTCTCCGTACCTTATGTGTCATCCTATAGGGGCAAAAATACTGCATTTGAACTTCTCTGCTCTTGTTTTTGGCTTTAAGGGTGTTTAGTACCCTCGTGAGAATTTCACTTCAGAAAAACACCCACGCCAAGAAGCTGGGAGGCTGTATGCTGCTGCTTACACATCTGTGCAAGCAGGATGTGCTACCAAAGCCAAAGAGGAGAGCAGCAGAAGGGATTTTATTTTCTTTTTGAGCTGAAATTTCGTCTTTACACCCACTCTGAGATCAAGCAAAGCTGCTTCAGGGACCGAGCCCCCCCCGGAACCCGCCGAACTGGGAGATTCTCATCGCCACAACCCTCAGCCCTGACCCGAAAGCACAACGACAACCCTGGAGGCGAAAAAGCTCCTTTGGGGACCGAACCCGCGGCCGGCCGACACGGGCCCTCTCGCCAGCCCCTGCCGTGCCCCCAGCTCACCGGC